TTCTTCTTCTTCTTCTTCTTCTTCTTCTTCTTCTTCTTCTTCTTCTTCTTCTTCTTCTTCTTCTTCTTCTTCTTCTTCTTCTTCTTCTTTGTGGAACCGGGGATTGAATTCAGGCCCTTGCGCTTGCTAGAGAAGCGCTTATTCCACTGAACCATCTCCCCGGCCCCTTGATAGTATTCTTTATGGCTCATATCTAGATGTACTTCTGAAGCCTCTTGTGTTTCTAGGTGAGGATTTTGGGAGATGGCTGGGTCAGGTGTATGTGATCCTGGATTAAGGGCGTGTGAAAGAGGGATTAGTCTATTGATTGGTTTAGCACAGCTCTGAGTGTAGATAATGAGAAGACCTACCCCAGGTGTGGATGGTACCAACCAATAGGCTTGTGGCCTGGATGGAATATAAAGGGAAAGGAAGGCTGGCTACTGGCTGCCTCCTGCCTGCCATGTCATGGCCTGTTTCTCTTCTGCTCGGTCCCTCCAACATGCCATTTTGGTTTGCAGCCAGTCAACTATGGCTAAAACTTCTACAAACTATGAGCTGAAATAAACATTTCCTCCTTTAACATATGGATGTTGGGTATTTTGTCCCAGCAACAAGAGAACAACTAAGATAGTATCTTTACAAGGCATTATATTAATAGAGTTCTATCCAATGTAGCATGGTCTATAGGTCTCATTCTCCTTCCTCAATTTCCCATTACCCTGATCCCATGTGCTTTCAATATGCGGGGTCCTGGGTGTTAAACTCTTTGGAGAAACCCTTAAATCTTTGCAGAGGAGGAGGTGGTTGTTGTACCTTTTGTAGTTTCTTTAGAAGAATAAAGCTTTGTCCTCTTCCTGCTACCTTTACATCTGTGAATCTAGCTCTTAAATAATGTCATGAATCTCCCTAAAACCAAAGCTACTTATTGCTTGAAGCTTCTGAGAGCCAAGAGCAAGTTTATGGTTAGGATTGTGATAAATCCAAACAACTTTTAATAGACTTAGAAAGTTAGAGCTAAAAGAAACCATGCATCATTTAATCAGTCCCTCCTTATTTTACTTTGCTCTGAATGTTTAGGTTATAGGATTCTCAGATGAAATGTTGATTGTCAGCCTCAAGGCTGTGGCCTGAGTTTCTAATACCTAAACCCAGATTTTGAATCTGCCCTGTCTCTAGGCAGAGACATACGGCTTGTACTGCTCTTACAAAAGCAGACTGACCATTTCTTCAGGTTCCATGCCTTCCTGCTCTCTGCTGTCTACGTAGGAAGGGAACAGAGTACCAGGACTGCAAATCAAGGACTCCATTCAGACCACCAGCCTCTGCCACTTGGTAACTGTGTGAGTGTAGGCATGTTATGTAACCAGATATAGCTGATAACACCACCTTTGTAAATGTAGCATATTTTAAATAGAATGATCTGTGCAAATTGTTAAGCCTAAGATTTAACACTTGACAAATAAAAACTTACCATTGTTGTTGCTACGGATGATGCCAAAGTATTTAAAAGGTTTTGTTATTGTACTTGTTGTTGTTAAACAAAAGATAATTTTTTTCCCTTATGGCAATAAAATATTTACTGATGATAGTATGAGTCAGTCGAAAATTTATGGAAGATAAGTTTATTTGCAACCAGGGTGCCTCAAGCAGGGAATTGTGCTAAAATAGTCAGCGGAGTTCGAGAAGTGGTAGAACTTGAGAGAAAATGGAGAAACATGCTACCCCAAATCTAGACCCACAGCTATACCCATGGAATATCTGTGACTGTACCTCAGTCCCGTGATGGGAAAGGTCCTGCAGATGCTGCACCGAACCGGGTGAGTAACCATCTCCGTGACTGACAGTTGGTAGCAGGTTGGGAGCCACTGGAGGATGACAGGCTCAGACTGTGCCCAAGACAGGAATCTTTCCTCCTTGATGCCTGAGCTCAATACCTGAAAAAAATGCATGCTGAAAGGTATTTTTAGGCATGACTTTGTATTTTCACTGTCCTTTGGGGGGGGTCTATTTCATCTATTCTGCCAAAGAAGTTTATCATGTGAAAAGTTGTAGACAAATCACTCTCCTCTGTAAGGTTGTCTGCCCCATTGTGTGGAGTCTGGTTTGAATCAGTCAGCAAGTTCCTGAGTCGGTCTGCCCCCAGATCCCAGAGACATCTCCACGGCACTCACCCCTTGGAAACAGCTGCGGACAGCGCTGTCCACGGAGCTCAGAGTGCGACTCTCGCCCACCACGGTTGGGATCTGCAAAAGGGAACCTCTCAGCAGCAGCCTAAAGGTCCAGAAACAGGTGGCTACCTGAATCAGGATGCTCAAGTGACAGTACAGAGCCCTCGGTCATGGTTTTGGGTTCTCAAGACTAGATGAGCTACAGCAGTCCAAGTATGCAGAAATCTGTAGGCTTTGTGCAGTGTTTGAGTCCAAGCAATGAGTCAGCAAGGAGAGAAGAAGAGAAAGGAAAATGAGAGAAGTCTGTAAGTGGAGCAATGAAGAATGCCTTCTGTTGATTCACTTCTTGTGAACCATTTTTATCTTTTCTTTGCCTTGTTTAACCTATGAAATGCAAATCACAATAGCAACACTGCATTAAAGTTTGTAATGGTTTTAAGAAAAAGCTATGCCAGTGTTTCACACTGAGGTGTAGACAGGCCTTTTCCACTTTTCCACAACTGACTCTGTGAGTGGTCACTGTAAGCCAATCTTTTATATTCTTATATATTTATATATCTTGCATTAAATGTTTTGCTAGTAATCACTAACTGGTACGCAACATTTAATTGTGTCAACATTACTGGCAAGATTGGTCAAGTCCACTTCTGAGTGTGACTGAAAGGTGTTTCTTAGAGGGTCTGAATGTGGGAGAGCAGAATCGGGCAGGAGACCCATACAGAGTGTGGCTGGTACCATCTATAGGCTCAGGGCCCAGCTGGAGGAAACTTGAAAAGCAGAGCAGGAAATTTGGAAGCACAGGGGCTGGAGAGATGGCTCAGTGGTCTAAAGCACCTACTTGGAACAAGCTTGGCAAAGCACAGGGACCGCGGTTCAATCCTCCAGCACCACATGCCAGCCAGCCGTGCCCCCTGGTGGGCTGAGCTGGCCACACACACACACACACACACACACACACACACACACACACAATAAATGTTAAAAAAAAAAAAAAAAAAAGAAATTTGGAAGCACAGGCTCTTGTGGCTCTTTGTTCCCTCTGCCTGGGCCTCCACTGGGCCTCCACTAAGAGCACTAAGAGCTCCCTCTGCCACATCCATCTGCCATTGTGTTTCTACCAGAAACTACCTTGGCTGAAGCTTCTGGAACCATGATCCCACATAAATCTCTCTTTCTTTTAGTTGTTTTTGTCACTTATTTTTTTTCAGTGACAAAAAGCCAGCACAGGATCTAATAGAGAGCACAGTGATTATTGTTCCTACTTCTCTTTTGTTCATTTGACCTTTGATACGAGCACAGATTGCAGGTGTCCTTGCTGCCCGGCCACTCATGGACACACAGAGAGACCATGAGAGTGGTGGATGTGGTTTAGTAATGTGACTGTGGTTGATCATTACACAGTGCATAGTTACACCTTTTTGCTTTTTCAGATAGGGGCTTGCCATATTGACTAGTCTGGCCTCAAACTCCTGGGCTCAGATCATTGTCCTGCCTCAATTCTCCAAGTTACTGGGATGATAGGTGTGCAACACCATGGTGCTGCTCACATCTTGATTATGTAGAGTTTTTATTTTGTTAATGAAATATTTAAAAAAAAATCGATAAATTGTGGAATGACTCGGGCTTGACATTTTCCTCAAAGTCAAAAAAGCAAATTAATTACAGATTCGGGGTTTCACTTCAGAATTCCTTATTGTTCCATGAAAGAGGTTCACAAAACTTAGGTCACCCAACTTAATAGATATTCTAGTGCTTCACTCAGCTATGTTCATCTTTCAATTCAGTTACCAGAGGGAATTTAATTAGGGGAGTAAGAGCCTTTCCCGATGGCCAAGATGTGCAGGGTGGGGGGGTTCTCAGGTCACCTATATGCACAGACATGTGTGCTGTCATCTCCACTTGTTCCCATGGGGTCAGGAGCCCTAGTCCACATCTGACATCTTCTACAGCACAGATATCAGCAGGCACTGCCTATGCGTCTAGGAGTAATCCAAGAGACTCCCCTGCGAGTTCATCAACTCCAATAAACACTCTTCTAATCAGGAAAGTGCTACTTAGAACCTCTTTGCTGACAATTAGCCAGGCAGAAGTGAACAAACATGTGCGTAAAAGAGACAAGACAGTTTGGTTTGCATTTTAAATTGATAAGAACCCCATTAGCAGTAAAATGTCCATAACTACAGCCTATGTTATTGGGGCTTTGTCTGAAAAAAATAACTCATTACTCACTCTTTGGCTTCTCAGTGTTGATGGACTAACTGGGCCATTTACTGAGACTGTGTTGCTAATTCAATATTCGGGCTTCTCTGTTTGTCTTTGAGGACTGGGAAAGGAGTTTCACTTCATTTGTAAGATAAAGGAGGTGGGTAATATGAGATCAGCTTGACACCTTTGTGATTCTAGCACTAAAGAAAAGAAAATTCACTCTGTAGTGGGTTTTAATATACATTTTTGCTTTTAGTGTGTATGCACAAAGATTTCACAGATTAAATGCCCATTTGGCTAATTTTTTGCAGGTGTTACATGGAAGAATTAAATGTGACTAGATGGCATGCTGGCACAAAGTGTCACTCAAAAGGCTAATTAAGATTCTGAAGGTGGGGCCTGAATCACATAGTGTAGTCTAGAATTTTTTGCTGGTTTTCTTCTCTGTATCCATTTGGAAGTTAATTGAGTGATGATTTGTTACATAAATCTCCATTTTCCTAATAGCTTTTTCAGGAGCAAACTAATTTGTGTAGGATATGGGGACATGCTACGGAAGTTGTCACTGCAGTAGCTCAGTGAACTTAGTTGGACTCAGAACAGGGGCAGAGTTTGGGGACCCGTCAGACTCATGCTAGCCTGGAGATACTGGTCAGAGTTGGGGCAGCAGCATAAGGAATTTTAGAGGAAGAGGAAAATGGCCCTCAGCTCATCATCTTAGTCTTACTAGTATAGTCACATAGTTGGGTGAACAGATTCCCTTACCATCCCTAGCTCTCCATCTCCTGGAGTTTGATAGCTGGGGAAGAAAATCTGCTATGATGTCATAGTCCATAACTCTTAGCTGATATCTCTCAACCAAGCCTTAAGGCCCTTAAGACCCATTCCAGTGTACATGAGGTTCCATCACACCCTGCCCCTTTGTGCAGGGTCTCACCATGCAGCTCAGATTTGTAGTGATCTTACTGTTTTCTGCTTGCCCAGTCCTGGGATTACAGATATGCCTTAAGCTCCAAATAAACCACCAGTAGGCAGGCCTTTATTGATGGTGGCTTGTATTCCACTTCTTTGGGCACTGCCTCTGGTAATCTTGGGCTTAGGGATCACAATGACAACTTACCTAGAATTTCTAGTTGTACTTGAACATTTCCAGACAAAGGAAGACTGCGAAGACTGCCTACTTCTTCAGGGTGCAGACAGCAACACATGACCACAAGATCAAGAGTAACCATGGAAACAAGACACCCCTAAACACACCCATTAGGGTGCCAGTGATTGACTCTAAAGATGGACATGTAGGAATTGCCTGATAAAGAATACAAAAACTTCATTTAAGATATGGCAAACTTTAAGAAATTATAAAGAAACAGTTCATGAATTTATCTGAGAAATTGAAATCATAAAAGACTTATAAATGTTACAGCATACAAATCCAGTGAATAAAATGGATGAACCAAAGACAAGTTGCTTAAAAATACACTGTCAGAAGAGAAAAAAGAGAAAGCAATGAAAAGGACTGAAGAAAGCTTACAGGATTTATGGGACAGCAAAAAAAAAAAATGCACAAGTCATTTATACTGATTTTCAACAAGGAATAGAAAGAGATTGAGAGTTAGAAAGATCATTTAAGAAAATAAACAACAGAACGCTTTCCAAACCTGGAGAATGATAAATACAGAGAAATAAGAAAATCAAAGGTCTTTATTCAGTTTCAGTCCAAATAAGATTACCTCCTGACACACAGTTGTTCTTCTATATCTGCAGGGCCCACAGCCAGATTCAAACTAACCATGATCCAACTATCCATGGATCAAAATATTTCAAAAATTTTTTTCTTTTTTACTGAACCTGCAAGGACTTTTTTCTTATAATTATCCACTAAATAATACAACATAAAAATGAAAAATATTCACATAGCATTTACAAATTAGTAGGTAATAAGTAATCTAGAAGAGGGAAATTAAATATAAGGTAGGATGTGTATAGGTTATATGAAAATACTTGCTATTTAAACAAAGGACTTGAGGACCCATGAATTTCAGTATCTTCAGTGGGCATGTATAGCAAGTCTGTGCGCAGACCTTGAGGGACAGCTGTATTTTAATTAAACTACCAAAAACAAAGACAATGAGTGTGTCCTGAAAACAGCTGAAGACAAGAAGGAAGTAACATGTAAGAGAATTCTAATGTGCTTAGTGGCAGATTTCTCAGCAAAATCCTGATGGCCAGGAGAGGACAAGATGATGCATTTAAAGTATTGAAAGGAAAGGGTTTTTTTGGGGTTTTTTGGTGTGTGTGTGTATCAACCGAAGGGCCTGGGGAGATAGCTCGGCAGTCCAAGAACTTGCCTGGCAAGTGCAAAGACCCAGGTTTGATCCCCGGTACCTCAAGCTATGCTGGCCACTGAAACTCAGTAGCTATAGCACATGCCTGTAATCCCAGCACTGTAGAGGCTGAGACAGGAGGATCACTATGGTACGAGCTTCATAGTGAGACCCTGTACCAAATAAATAAATAAATAAATAAATAAATAAATAAATAACAAAGAAGTATCTTACTGTACCCAGCAAACTTTCCCTTGGCAACAAATTTGAGATAAAATTTTGCCCAAACAATGGCTGAGGGAGCTCATTACCACCAGACTTGTCTTATACAAAATGATAAAAAGAATTTTTAAACTAAAAGAAAAGGATGTTAATGAGCAAATGAAGACATTTAAAAGTATAAAACTAACTGGTAAAATAAAACAAAGTCAAACTCAGAATACTCAAACATTGCAATGGTGTGTAAATCATATATCGTCAGTAGGAAGTTTAAGAGGCAAGACTAATAAAACGATAATCACTAAAATAATTTATCAGGATATATAAAAAGATGTAGATTATGTTTTCAAAATTGAAAATGTGAGAAGGACTGGAATAAACATATGGTGGCCTTATTTACTTTTTCAATCAAAATTAAATGATTATCATCTTAAAATAATCTATTATATAAGTATATATTGAAAAAAAAAGGTTTTGGTCTTTTTTGAGACAAGATTTTGCTATGCAGTTCAGGCTAGCCTTGAGCTCAATTTGTAGCTCAATCTGGTCTCAAACTCAGGGTGATCATCCTGTTCAGCCTCCTGAATGCTGGGAGTACAGGCTTGTACCACCACATCTAGCTATATTTTTGTAAGACTCAAATTAGCTATAAATACAAACCTATAATGTCATACTAAAAATTAAAAAAATAAGAAATCAAAACATATTACTAAAGAAAATTACTTAACCAGAAAGGAAGAAGTAAGAGAATAGAAAAAGGAAAAAAGAACATATCAAAAAAAAAAATAACAAAATGACAGTAGTAAGTCCTTTATTATCAATAGCCACCTTAAATGTAAATAGATTAAATTCTCCAATTAAAAAACAGAGTGCTAGAATGGGTAGAACAAGATTCAATCCTATGCTATCCACTAGAAATTCAGTATACTTGTAAGGACACACATAGTCTAAAAGTAAAGGGATGACTAAGGACAAATTCCATACAAATAGAAACCAAAAGCAAGGAATAGTAATTGTACTTATAGTAGGTAAAAAAGACTGTAATTCAAAAACCCTAAAAGAGAAAGAAGGTCATTATATAAAATATCAATTCAGTAAAAGAGTGTACAACTGTAAATATATAGCACCTAGCACCAAACTACCAAAATATATAAATTGAATACTAACAGACTTAAGGGAAGAGACGAGCTGTAACAGAATACTATTAGAAGATCACCATACCAGACTTTTAGCAATGTCTGGATGTCAGATCATTCAGAAAAAAAAAATTCAACAAAAACACCCTAGATTTATTCCCTGCCCCTTAATTCCTTTTGCTTTGTAGCACTGACAATGAAACCCTGGATCTAGGATGTTAGACACATGTTCTACCACTGAGGTATACTTCCAGCCTTGAACGTTGGGTTAAAGTTGCATTCGAAACCAATGGACATGATAGGCATTTCCAGTACAGTCAATCCAACAATTGCAGTCTATTCATGAGAAAGTAAAGTAGGACAGCCATTATGGACACAGTTGGGATATTTCTCAAAATATTAAGAAGAGAGGCACCACATGATCCAGAAATCCCAACCTGGCATAGATCCAAAGGAAAGAAAATACACTGAAGAGCTATCTACACCTCTATACTTAGTCCCGCGTTGCTTTTTTCAATAGCTAAGGAGTGGAAGCAGCCTGTGTCTGTCCACAGATGAGGTGTTAAAGAAAGTGTGGTATGTACACACAATGGAGTACTATTCGGCCTCAACCAGTCTTGTCACTTGAAATGACGTCGATGAGCCTAAAGGACATTATGCTAAATGAATAACCCAGGCACAGACAGACAAGCACCATGTGACTTCACTCATATGTGGAGTTTACAAAAGTTGATTCATCAGAGTCGAGAGCTGAATGGTGGTTATCAGAGGTTGGCATAGTTACGTGGAGGGAAGGCAGTGAGAGTGTTGATCAAAAGTCTTATGATTATTTTTAGGTAGAGGAAATAATTTCAAGATTTTTACTGTGCAGCATAGTGACTTGAGTTAATGGTGAGATGTTGTATTTTTGAAAAACTGTAGGGAGTATTCGGTGTTGTTACAAAAAAATAACTAGGTGAGATAATGAATTTGGTTATTAGATTTAACTATTTCACACAGCATGTACATGTAAAACAGTCTCTTGTACATGATAAATACATACTGTTTTTACCTATCAGTTAAAACTATAAGAGTTATAAACATTTTGAATTTTGATCAGAATTTCCAGAATAAATTAAATATCAATTATTGTGATAAACAAAAGATAAAATAGTAACCTTATGAAATAATATAAGCAAGGTAAATTAGATATGTTTCCTTCTGTAACCCTGTCACAACTATTCCCAATTGAGAAAAGTTGGCTCAGGCCCTGGGGAAAAATGACAAAGAGTTTCCATGGTTTCACAGCATAGAAAATGAACTACGAGCATTTTACCAAGGCTGGAAGAAAAATAGAGACATTTTTCAAACAAAGCTGAAGGCACAACAGGGTGATGATCACGAACATACAAGGCCATCTGGAATTTACAGAGATTCCCGCTTGAATGTATCATTTCACACTGGCTTAACACTGAAAATAACATTAAGGGGGTCAAATTCCCCTGCCTGATAAGTAAAAATCAGTATCAAGTTTGTGCATTTGTAAAACATGAGAAATGTTGGAAAATCTTTATTTGGGTACTCTGCACTGTGTTTTATGCATCCACTAAGATCTATTGAAGGGCTTTTAAAGGCTATAGATATAAACACAAATGAGGCAGAATCCTTGGCCTTACAAAGCAAGGCTTCTGAGGCTTGTGGGAAAGCAGCCAGTAAAGCTGGACAAATTCTATAGCAAATTATACATAAGGATCTAACCTTTGGGTGAAGTGGGGACTCATGTTTGAAATGATCTTGAAAGATGAACAGTATTTGTTAAGTGAATGAAAGGAAGGGCAGGTGGGTGGGACTGCAGAAGCCAGGGATGGAGAACAGAACACTCAGGCACTTTGGGGATTTTGTTGAAAGGGCATGCAGAGTGCAAGGAAAAACTGTACATTTGGAACCAGTAAAAGAGACTTCCGGTTATCTTTCCAGTGCTGATTATCTGAACCTGCAGAGACAGCACATTATAGTCCTTAACTAGACATCTTACAATTCTGTAGAGGTTAAAGATGATTCATAGAAAACTTATAGTGATGCAAATAATTCTTGTCTATGGATGTATAAATAAATTTAGTTCTCATTGAAGGACAATATTCTCCTCTCCCTAAAAGAAGGCTTTGCATCCATCTGAAAATTTACTTTAATATTTCCAATCCTGTGGTTTGTCTGTTCTCCTCCTACCCCTTTTAACTAGTTTTGGCATTTTATGGGTGCTTTGCTTTTAATTAATGGATAAAAAGATGTTTTGGACACATGTTTCCTTTATATTTGTATGAAAATTGTGAGATCACCTCTTTTTAAAAGGAAAAGGATTAGGTCAAGCTGCAAAAGCTTTTCATGATATTAAGGAGTTTCATGTCTTTCTGCCAAAGACATGAATAGCCAGTGAAGAATTTTAGGGATGAACTATACTGAAGTTTGGACCTAAGTGGCTTTCAAAGGCTTAGTGCACCCAGTGAGGTACTATTGGGAAGTTATGGGAGTTGTTATGGTCTGTGTCTGGAAGTGCCACCTACTCTTTATGCCCTCATGCAGGCTTCCAGAGTTTGCAGGCTTCTAGATTGATTCATGGTCCGATGCAGGGATTATGGATGTGAATGTTATTCCCACTCTAGGGCAGGTAGCCTACATACAACACAAGAGAAGGAAAGAGCCTTCTCTCCTCACTCCTCCTTTTGATCTATTGCTCTTGCTGTCCACCACCATGAACTGCTGCCCTCTGCCATGTGCCACCCTGCCTTTGGAGTCAGTTGGTTATGGATTAAAACCTCCACAAATGGTGAGCTGAATAAAATTTCCTCCATGAACCTTGGCTGTCAGGTATTTTATCACTGCAAAAAGAGAAAAGTAACCAACATAAGAATGTTAGGGGGTAGACTGGTGGGAGGTTTTAGGTGGTTTGGGACGTGCCCTTGAGGAGCACTGTAGAAGCCCGGTCTCTTCCTTTGCCTTTGCTTTTGGTCACCATAAAATAATCACCAGCTTTCTTCACCATGTGTTCCCACCAGGATTTTCTGCTTTGCCACATCTAAAAGCCATGAGGCTGAGTGAACACAAACAGAAACTTCCAAAACCCTGGGCTAAAGTAAACATTTCCTCTTTTAAAGTCAATTATTTCAGTTATTTTGCTACAATAATGGAAAGCTCATTAATACAGGCTGACATTTACATTTTGAAAAGGTCACTGACTCAGTGCAGGGGAAGAGATAGATACTAGAAGGCTTAAGCTGGAGAAACCAGTTAGGATGAAATTGTAGTAGATCTTGCTAAAGTAAATTCAGCCTGTCCTCATAAAATAGCTGTGGCTACGAGGTTGCATGGAGAGTTATATAAGGATAGAACTAACACTGTAAAAACCAGATTCTTTAAATACTAAGAATTTACCTGCTGTATATCTGTTAGTAAGTTTCTCAAAACCCTTCGAGTGATGCGTGCCCTGGATTCATTACTTCCCTTGTTATTTTCTGCATAGAGCTGAAAAAGAGCTAAGCATATAAGAGGAAAAGACATTTAAATTGAATACTCACACCTTTGGGGTGTGTATGGCTTTGTTTTTTTTTTAAATTATATAATTCTTATGTTCACACATAAGTCCAGAAATCTAACCATATACAACCTTGAAGCAGGACAGTTGTGCTTTGAATTAAGTTTTGTGGGTAGGAAGAGAAGGAAAGGAAGCATTATAGTCTTGATTATTATTACTGTTTTGGAGGCCTCTCAGTCTAGCAAATTGGATGACCAACAAAAACCCACTCACGTTTAACCTCTTGGTAATTTAAGATCATGAGGTTTGTGAACAGCAACGTGAGGATCATCTTAGTTCTTAACAAATAATAATTAACAGTGTCTTTATAATCTCTAAATAATCAAATGTCAAGAGCAAAGAGAGAATGTATGCAAGATCTAAACAAATTTCACGTTTTTCTCAATCTTCACCAACCATTTTTCTTAAATAAAACAAGCCTATCGTGCTGAGTATGTGTCAAAGAACAAGTGGCATGTGGCAGAGATATAGGAGTGGGTGGGGACATTAGTACCTTGGAGAGGGCAGGGGGCAGTCACCACACTTCAGAACACACTGGACTCCCATACTTTACCTCTGTACTTTGTCAGAGGGCTGTCCCCTGAGAGCGCAATCAGGGCAGCAACCACGGGCAGAAGCTTGAGAACACCCACTCCTGGGCTGCACAGGAACAAATCACAAAGAAAGGAAGTGCAGGATTGTTCTATAAGAAATTGTTTATGAAAACCATAACTGCTAATGGACATATCTTATACAGTGTTATATGTTCTAGCTTTTCATGACTTTTTTCCTATAGGTAGGTTTGACAGAACCAACCATTGAATAAAAATGTTTTACTATTCATTCTTTCATCCATCCATCCATCCATCCATCCATCCATCCATCCATCCATTCATTCAATAAATATTTCTGGATGTCTCTCTGTGCTATTCATTGCACTGGAGACTATGGTTGTAGGCCTCATCCTGTCCCCATGGAACTGGAAATCCCAGGACTCAACTACCTGGAAACCAAACAACAAAGATCAGAACCAAAAGGAGAAAAAAAAGACAAAATAAATAAACAAAACCTCTGGTAGTTCAAAGGCTAGCTCAGAAGCTAATCTTCTTGAGCCCACTTGCTATCTAGTTTACAAACCTGCAGAACATCTTACCAAAGGCAGGAGGGTTGTAACAGACATGCACAATAGTTGAAATGAAACTCAAAAGCTTAATATCAAAAGAGACAAAAATCAAGAAATAAGTCACCTGACAGTCTGTATGTTATTCACACAATTAAAAAGTAAATCAGAAACTAAAAAAAGAGAAAGCTATCAGAAATTTGATGTGATTCAAAATAGTGTTTGTCTAACATTTCTTATTTACTCTTTTTCTCTACTTTCCAAATACCTTACATTGATTACAATTTTTAAAAAGTTCACTCTAAATAATGAGGTTGAACAAATCAATATTACATATGGTAAACCAAACTGAGACAAGGCAGAAAAGTGTAAAAGCTACAGCTCAGCAAAACCTAACCTGCCCCTCCTTACACACCCATACATGTGTGCACCTTGCCTGGCAGAGCCGCTTACTCAGGGGCACATGTAATTAACCTTTTGCCATGCTCTAAACTAGTTCATAGGTTGGTCATTCTTGCACTGTCTATTCAACCTTATTCCAGCTCAAAGCCAAACCCAAACAGTAATTGCTAATGATGATATATAGATGTATAATTGCCATTGCAAAGGGCATGCATCTTTCTCTGGAGGGAAAATGAGTTTGTATAATAAAAGAGCAATGCAGAGGGGTTTTCCCCTTTTTGCTACCTACACATCATTTATATTAGTGATACTGATAAGCATGAGCTTCTCTGTTCTTATCCTGAATGTGTAATCGATTTGTGGAAAACAAGCAAACAAATAAAGATGGCTTCTTGTATACCAAGCATCAAGCAGACTTTAGCACTAAGTGGTCAGGGACCAGCAGTGATTAAACATTGTTCTCGAGCTCACTGTATGTCACGTCCTCCTCACCTGTCAAACATGGCCATGAGGAGGCTCAAAGTGAGTTCCGAAGCTCTGGGCTGCACCTGCCCCCGTGTTTCCACCCTGGCTCTCTGAAACAGCTCTTGGAGGGCCTGAAAAAGCTGCGGCACCGAAAGAGAGCCAGCACTGGCCTTCCAGACGCGTGGATGGAGCAGAACTTCCTGAACCAAGGTGCTGCTGACCAAGTCCACTGTAGGAAGCAGATGGAGAACTAAGCTTCTAATAAAGCACCTGGCTTCTAGTGTTTAAGACCTGATGCATCCCAAGATGCCCATCACATGAGGAATGATTGAGAAAGATGTGGTATTTTTACACAATGGAGTATTATTCAGCTATTAGGAATGATAAACTGCAAGCCTTTATATTGAAGTGGATGCCACTTGAACATATACTCATAAGTGAAATAAACCAGACACACAT